AATGTGGTAGTACTGTAGTATTATCTTTAATTTATAAATGAGATGTTTTAAGTTCGATTGAAATAATAACACGAAAAAATATATGCAATCAATATAATTCAAGTAAAATAATAACACGAACAAATACATACAATGAATATAATTCAAATAAAATAATAACACTACTTGACAATAACATAAAAAAGGTTATTATATCTACTCACCTGTCTTCCTTTTTCACGCAATTTACATTGATTTGTCATATATTTGAGTTATGAGTATACTCCTGTCCTAGTCTTCTTTACTTCCCTCTCAACATTTCTAAAACAAAATAAAGCTTCCATTGATACTTCCAAAAATCCCACCCCTCACCTTCCATTTTTGATTAGTTTGACACCTTTATTGATTAGTTTGACACCTTTTTGAGCTTCTTTCATCTTCTTTAAGACTGCCCAAAAATCCACGAAAGCCCGGAATCCTTGACACTTTTTCTTCTTTGATAAATTCAAGGCTGACAGTTTGAAAATATTTACCTAAAAAGAAAATCTGTACACCATCATTATTTTATCATCAATGTACTTCCATCAACTTTTTTCAACCCCTTGATTTTTCATTATTTTTCTTCCTCCTCCAATCCAATCTCTCCATTCACTACCCAAATCTTCAACATCTTCCATTTGGGTCTCCATCATTTGCTCCAAAAGATTCACCCACACCCCAATTTCCCTAAAGTTTAACCCACCATTTTCTCTGCACTCTGCAGTCTTCTGTTCCAATTTCTATGTCTTGGAAAAACCACCAGCATTGCCACAGCTTGGTCGTCGACAGGCAATGCAAGATCAGGAAGCGCGGGGGGGGCTCGTCTTCCTCCTCGTCTTCCTTGGTCCATAGGTACAGACTCAAGAGGGCAATCCTGGTAGGAAAACGAGGCGGCTCGAGCACCCCAGTCCCCACCTGGAAGACTGTAAGCGCGGCGGCGGCAGCAGCAAGATCACCTTGTGTGGCGACGATGATGTCAAATGGGGGTAAGGAGGACGATGAGATGGCAACGGTACAGCAGCAGCGGAGACCGGCTTCGAAGCACGGCGGCGGCAGCAGCGGAAAAGGGAAGGAAGTGGTTTCGGTTTCGGCGAGAAAGCTGGCGGCGACTTTGTGGGAAATTAACGAACAAGAACAAACTGCTTTGAGAAAGAAGGCTTCCAAAGTTGCTCAATTTCCTTCCTTAGCCGGTTCCTTGCCGCCAAAGTTATCAGATTCATCCTTTACTCCTATTTCTGAGGTAAGGATTATTTAAGGGGTGAATTTACGCTTCCCTTGTCTCTTTTTCCACTCATTTTATGTGATCGGAATTTTTATTGATGTATTCAAAGAAAATGCAGGAGAAGAAATCTAAAAGAGTTTTGCAAACATCTTTCTCTTGATTTAGGTCTCATTTAGAAATGTTTTGAAACGACTGAATGCGCTTTTGATGAAAATATTTTTAGAACTAATTATTAATAAAATGCAAGTTAATATGAAAAGTGTTTTTTTTGTGCTTCTTGCCAAAAGCACTTCAAGTGCTTTGGAATTAAAAAACGTTGTCTTCAAAAATGTTTTCAATCATTTAAAAGCACTTTTAGTTCATTCTAAATGTCATAGGTCAGATAAACATGTGAGTGACGGGGTAGAAGATGTGCAAAAATCAATTACCTATTCTTTTTACTATAAGTTATATTTTGTACTAGTTTATGTTAAAAGGAAAAAGAAAGAGTTTAATCATCACACAGTAAGGTTAAAAATGAAACTCCCAACCACTAAGACAGTACCATATTTGTTACCTATTTTCTTCGACATGTAGATTATTTTTCTGTTTGGACTTTGTTTGTTCTACTATATATTATGGAAGTGTAAATTTCTTATTTATTAAATTGAATTTGAAAGTATTAAATTTTGTTTTGGGAATTTTGTGCAGAGGAGAAATGGATCTGGGAATGCTGGACGCCAGAGAGGGTTGTCGGCCGTTTCTCTGAAACTTCCTTTGAATCATTACCAAATGGGAGGTTTCCAGACTCACACTACAAGTGCCAGTTTAACTCAGGTAAAAAAACAACTGCATTTCAATATGTATATTATAAGAAATACTAAGGAGACTTTCTAAAAAATGAGAATTCTAGTGGACTCTCTGTCATTTTATATTTTTGGCAAAATTTTCGTGTCAACATTATGAAATGTTAAGTAAAAACTATGAAGTGGCAAGAAGCCAATAGAGTCTCACTTTAAGAAAGTTCATTTCTCATATATTATATATTACATTGGTGAAAAAATAAACAGAGGAACAAGGTTGCTGGAATTTTTATTTTTACCGTTTGTGTCACGTAAAATTATAAAAAATGACAACAAGATGTTGACAGTGATTCAATACAAATTGGTCCCCATAAAATTTGTCCAATAATAACCCATGGATCATAAATTTCAAATGTACTTTTCTGCCTTGTCATTTTCAATGAATAAAATTTTAGTTTTTTTGTTTGAAAAAGTTGATCTAGCTCTTCACTTTCGTGTTTAAAAATTGGACAATTAACTGGAATTATTATTTTTTATATTTAACTGTAGAAGTGATCAGTTTTTAACAATTACGACGGCATATTAATCATATATCGATAACACAATGATGATGTAACGACCACACAACGATGATATAACGACGATATGGTAAAAACTGATAATTTCTACAACGAAAATGTCAAAAACTGATTAGTTCTGTAATCAAATGTAAAAAAAATGATCATTCCTTCTATTTGCCCTTAAAAATTAGGTCTTCAGTTTAATGACTGTCTCCTGATATAATTAATCTAAAGCATTTGTTTAATGGTCAACTAGAATGTTTGTCTTAATGAATGAGTTCTTAACTAAGTTAGTTAAGAGCATTTACTCTCTCCATTCGAGTTCAATCCCTCACTCCTCTAATATCTCTTCTAAAAAAGAATGTTTGTTACTTAACATAAATTCTATGGTGCTCTGGATCCCACCATAAAAATTCTTATTGCTTAAAGCACTCACTCCCTACTCCCGAGATTTCGAGTACGCTTTCTTACTCTCTCATATCGCTTGTATCAAAAAGAAAGTTTGTTACTTAACTCTTGAGCACAGCTATTTTGAATCTTTGAGTAGACATGTTGATTGCATTAGACTGCATGGATTCCTAGGATGATGAATAAGTAAGCATGTTGATTGAATTTCACAATTTGCAGCTCAAAGATCAATCTTGTGTGAAACCTGATCGAAATTGCATACACGGATTTAAGACCTGTTTGAAGGATGTCAGTAGTGGCCTTTCTACATCTAAAGAGCTTGTAAAAGTTCTTACTCGCGTTTCGGGTCTTGAAGAGCAGCATTCTTTAAGTACAACCTTACTCTCGGCCCTACGAGTTGAACTTGATCGAGCTCGTATCCAGGTTCATCAAATGATCCGAGAGCAGAGGTCTAACTGCAACGAAATTGAGTATCTCGTGAAGAAATTAGCAGAAGAAAAGGCGGCCTGGAAAAGTAAGGAGCGAGAGAGGATACATGCTGCAATAGCGTGCGTAGCAGAAGAACTCGAGGTGGAGAAGAAGCTAAGAAGACAAACAGAAAGGTTGAACAAGAAGATAGGGAAAGAACTGGCAGATAAAGAGGCAGCTCTGTTGAAGGCCACGAAAGAGCTTGAGAGGGAGAAGAGGGCAAAAGAGATTTTTGAGCAAGTTTGTGATGAGTTAGCCACAGGTCTTGGGGAGGACAGAGCACAAGTTGAAGAGCTAAAGAGAGAATCGGAGAAAGTTTGTGAAGAGGTGGAGAAGGAGAGGGAAATGCTTCAGCTAGCTGATTTGTTGCGCGAGGAGAGAGTCCAGATGAAGCTCTCCGAAGCCAAATATCATTTCGAGGAGAAAAATGCCATTGTGGAACAGCTGAAGAATGAACTAGAGGCTCACTTGATATCCAAAACGTATGAAGGTAGTGGCGGTTCTCCAGACTTCAGTAAAATCAAGGAACTCGAGGCTTATTTAAAGAAGATCAATTTCGGATCATTTCAGAACATGAAGATAGAAGGGAATGGAATGGAAGTTGCTGCATATAGAGAAGAATGTGAAGACGATTCAAAAAGGACTTCAGTTGATAGCGATCTTCATTCCATCGAGTTAAGCATGGACAATAACAACAAGAGCTACAAATGGAGTTATGCCTGCGGAGATGATACCGAAGATGATTCAAAACGGACTTCAGTTGATAAACAATTCAAAGGGAGGAGATCACTCTCCGAAAAAATACAATGGGAAAGCATATGCTTGAACAAAAATTCCAGCGGCATTGATTGGGAGTTTGGCGTAAAATCTCAAGGGCAGTCAGACGGGCGGCTTATGGAAATATCAGAGCTTGTACCGCAAACTCAAACGCCAGAAGATGAAACCGAAACAAAGAAAAAGGGTTCTGCTAGGGGTCTCACAGACCATAGGTTATCGAATTCAAAAGTAGTTCCGATCCACAGCTTAGCCGGTACAACTTGTCAGTTTCAATCCTTGCCGATGAAGGATCCTGGAACCGGAGTGTGCGGAATTTAGACGGATGTTCCACAAGAATGATTCGGAGCTCCAACTAGCAGGAAGAAAAGGCCAATGCCAGGATCAAGAGTATATAGATGTTTTCATGCTATTTCTGTTGATTTCTGAGAATTATACATCGTTTTGCAGCATGCTTTCTTCTTGACCACGTCATTCAAATCTTTCGGGATAGCGGACGTTAAACGCTGATCACGGTCAGCAGCCTCGACAAGTCAACAGTGACATGGTTACCAAAATTCCGACGTTCAAGGCTAGATGCTCGCGATTTTCTCATTAGCTGCACTTCGACAACACAATAGTTTACATTTTTATGTATTGTAGAGTATATGCCGGATTCAATGCGCCCGGTTCTAGTAGAACCAGACAGTTGGATTCAGAATCAAGATAATAAATTCAACATGTTTGCAAACATATTTATGAACTTTATCTCCACACACATGAACAAAGTACAGAACCATATTAAACTTCATCTGTAGCAACTTCTTTACGGTACAAATGAGTTAAAACGATTCACATTTGATGAACGAGAACCATATACGAAATCAAGGCGGACCGGTTACATAGGAAATACATCAACAATGATATCTACAAAAGGGTCTTCTTATTATTATTGAACAGGCCGGCATTTTGCAAACCACTGTCAGTTGGTGAATTGATGAAATCCAATTATGACTTATGGGAGACTTCGCGATCGGTCTTTGCTGAGGCTGATGTGAATGTAACTGGAGTTGCTGGATGGTCCCTCACGATCAAGCTTAGCACTTCAGGCCGTGAGTAGTGTCCAACCACATCAAAGTCAAATTTCGCCCTTGCTATTTCCCAAGATCTATGCAACATTTGGTCATTAGAAAAAAAATCAGAGCTCGGTTCACTTAAAAGAGCTAGAAGTACAATAGTTCTACTAAAGCTTGAAACCATACCTGATAACATTGCTAAGAAATGTAGAAAGCTTAGGTATTAAGAAAGATAACAAATATCAGAGAGAGAGAGAGAGCAAGGACAATCTTTTGCAACAGATTTTCTATTACTGTTAACTTAATCAATACAATGTAATTCTGCTATTTATACTCATACTAAACACAACACCCTAGCAATGTATTAAAAGCGTGAGGCGTGGGCGAGGCGTCCGAGGGGAAGCCCGGCCTAGGCGTAAGGCGTGAGGCGTGAGGCGAAGCCTCACGGGACCTAAATTTTTTAATATATACACTGAGCATACACATATATTATATTAAAAAGAGAAAGATTATTAATCAATAATCACCTGAGCACACACATATATTATAAATATATATACACACACATATATATACATATATTATATTATGTATGTATAAAATAGAGGATGAAAAGCATAATGAGCACACATATAACAATGCACGTAGACAGCACACACATCAATTATATAAAATCCTGCCCAAAATTTGGGTTTGGGAGTAAAAAAAAAAAAAAAAAAAAAAAAAAAAACCCACTGGGCGCCGCCTAGGCGGCTGAGGCGGTGCCTAGGCGGCTCCGGCGAAGCCTTTCGCCCACTCCAGCAAAACTGAGGCGTTTGTCATGGCGCCCAGCCTCAAGGGCGCCTTAGGCGCGCCCCGAGGCGAGTTCTTTAAAACACTGCACCCTAGAGACAAAACTCAACAGCCACTAATACAAGGACAAGTGGCATTCTCTACATAACTCAAATGTCTTATACTCTAACATTCCCCCTCAATCTTATGGTGGGAAGCCCCAAGCATAAGATTGGAACAATGACGAAGAAACAAAGGTGAACACAAGCCTTTGGTAAGAATATTAGCATACTGATCAGTGGAGGAGACAAACTGTAGGGAAATCACGCCCTGTTGAACCCGTTCGTGAACAAAGTGACAGTCCACTTCGATATGTTTAGCTTTGGAATGAAGAACTGGATTGGTTGCCAATGCCATTGCAGAGATATTATCACAATGTAACAGAGGAGGTACAGAAGGCACAATGTGCAAATCCTTGAGCAATTGTTGTAACCAAACAACCTCAGCTGTGGTAGGGGCCATAGCCCGGTATTCTGCTTCAATGGAAGAACGACTCACTGTATGTTGTTTCTTGGAACTCCAAGAAATAGGATTAGAACCGAGAAAGACCACAAAACCAGTGGTAGACCGGCGGTCATTGGGATCACCAGCCCAGTCTGCATCAGTGTAGGCTCGAATGTCAAATGAACCAGGTCTAAAGCAAACTCCCCAATCAAGAGTTCCTTTGAGATAACGCAAAATCCGTTTGACAGCAACAAAATGAGAGTCCAATGGAGTGTGCATGAACTGACACACTTGGTTAACTGAATAAGCAATGTCCGGTCTTGTGAAGGTTAAGTATTGAAGAGCTCCAACAATACTGCGATAATGAGTAGGATCAGAGTAAAGGGGACTACCATGATTGAGTAATTTCTGATTGGGATGACATGGAGTAGTGCAAGACTTGCATTGAACCATGTCCGTCTTCTGCAACAAGTCCTGGACATATTAAGACTGATGAACAAATAACCCCTGGGGATGATATTCAATTTGCAGCCCGAGGAAATAATGAAGAAGACCTAAGTCTTTCATATCAAACTCCTTGGTCAAATGCCGGATCACAGATTGTATACTGTCAGCATGATCTCCAGTGAGGATGATATCATCCACATATAACAATAACACGACTATATGAAGACCATCATGCTTGACAAAGAGAGAGGGATCGGCATGAGAAGCTTTAAAACCAAGAGAAAACAGAACAGAGGTAAACCGATCATTCCAAGCGCGAGGAGCTTGTTTAAGACCATAGAGAGACCGTTGTAACTTGCAAACATACTCAGGGTGATCTCTATCCACAAAACCCGGGGGTTGAGACATATAGACTTCCTCCTCAAGAAAACCATGCAAAAACGCATTCTTGACATCAAGTTGATTCAATTTCCAACCATTTGTTGCTGCCAAAGATAACATCAGGCGTACTGTGGTAGGTTTAACCACATGACTGAATGTCTCATAGTAATCGAGACCTGCTTCTTGAGAAAACCCTTGTGCCACTAGTCGGGCCTTGTGCCGAGCAACAGAGCCGTCGGGATGCCGCTTGATCTTATAGATCCACTTGCAGCCGACACAGTTTTTATTTGGAGGAAGAGGAACAAGTGACCAAGTTTGCTGATGAAGTAAAGCATCCATTTCTTCTTGCATAGCCTGTTTCCACTCAACATACTTGGAAGCTGCAGCAAAAGTGTGTGGTTCGATGCTACTAGGAGATGGAACAGAAGCTGTGAGCCCTTGTTTTTTCTTAAAAATGCCAGACTTGGATCGAGTCTGCATAGGGTGACAATTTGTAGCAGCAAGAAGCACAGGCTGTAAATCTGGAACCTGAGACATTGTAGTGTCTGGATGTAATTCTGAGACAGAAGGAGAAGTAGAAATACCATTGACTGATGAAGGAGCAGTAGAGGAGACAAGATCACCATGGGAGAGAGAACTGGACTGAGTAACATGAGGAGATGGAGCAGGTGTCTGAAAAACAGTTGGTAAAGGGATAGGGATAATGGGATACTGGTGAAAGGTATTAGGATGAACAATATGTGGTGAGGAGGGAGAAAAAGTGGAAGGAGAAGATGGCTTAGAAAAAAGAGAAGACAAGATAGGAAATTGAGTTTCATCAAATAACACATGACGGGAAACCAGCAATTTGTGTTTGAAAACATCAAAGCAAATGTAACCTTTATACTGTGCAGCATAACCCAAGAAAATGCACTGAGTGGTCTTTGGATCAAGTTTAGTAGTCCTATAAGGTTTTAAAGAAGGATAACAGGCACAGCTGAAAACCCTTAAGTGATCTAACCTAGGTGCAGAATGAAATAAGACTTCAAAAGGAGATTTCATTGCAAGACTAGGGGTAGGCATCCTATTGATAAGATAGGTTGCAGTAGCACACGCATGATACCAAAACGGATCAGGTAAAGAAGCGTGCTGAAGAAGGGTAATAGCTGTTTCAACAACATGCCTATTCTTTCTTTCAGCTAAGCCATTTTGCTCAGGTGTATATGGACAGGAAATCTGATGAATTATGCCCTTGGATTTAAGAAAAGACTGAAAAGAATTACTAAGATACTCTCCACCCCCATCACTTTGCAGAATTTTAATAGATGTATCAAAGAAATTAACCACATAAGCGTGAAACTGAGTAAAGAGGCCAAAAACAGAAGCTTTATTAATAAGAGGAAAGATCCATGTATATCGAGTACATTCATCTATGAATGAGACATAGTACTTAAAACCTTCTAAAGACATAGCAGGAGCAGGGCCCCATACATCCGTGTGGATGACTTCAAAAGGAATTAAAGACTTGGAAACATGTATAGGAAATGGCAGCTTAGTGAATTTGCCCTTCAAGTAGGAAATACATGGCTGAGAGGTGAAGGTACTAGAAATGGAATTGAAGACTTAGTAAGGGCAAGTTGGACAACATTATTAGTAGGGTGACCCAACCTACGATGCCATAGAATAGAACTAACTTTTTGACCAAGAAATGCTGCAGGAGGACCGGTGGAAGGTTTGAGCACAGGAATAGGATAAACTGCATTGTTACTCAGCCCGTGGAACAATGTTCTCTTGGTAACCTTGTCCTGTACACAAACAGAGAATTCATCAACAATACATCTGCAATTATTATCTTTACACAATTGATGCATAGACAGCAAGTGTTGAGATAATTGAGGAACATGCATAACAGAATTCAATCTGAAATTGTGAGACTTAGTGTGAAGATTAGAACTGCCAACATTAGCAATAAGTAAACCTTCACCATTTGCACCAGTGACAGTATCATTCGCAGGATATGGAGCCGCAACATGAAGATTGGACAAATCACTGGTCATATGATTGGTGGCTCCCGAGTCTAGAAGCCAATACTCTGGTTGTGGTGCAGAAGGAGCCCGCACATTCATGGCAACAGGAGGATTGTGACATGAAGTTCCAGAGGGAGGAAAAAACTGGGAAGACCCGGGAGGAGCTGAATGGTATGACATATGAGCTGAACCAGGAGTTGGAGCATGTGACTGCACCGAATGTGGATGTTGCTGAGGATAGGTATGATAGAACTGAGAAGAAGGAAATGATTGATTTGGAGCTGAATTTCTGTCAAAACATGTAGCTGCAGTATGCCCAACACGATGACAGATTTGACAACCATGTTGAAAACAAGTAAGGGCAGTGTGACCTTTCCTGTCGCATATCTGACACATTGGTTGAGGATTATGAGAAGATGGTGTGACTGGAGGCTGAATGGAGGACTGGGAGAAAGGATTGGCACCATAAGTGACGGGTTGATTATGAAAAGATGGAGGATTAGCACCATGAGTAAAGGATTGATTATGAGAAGATGGACCCCCAGAGAAGAATTTCTTGCCTTTCCCTTTGGATTTGAAGTTGTGCCCCCGAAAATTATTATAGGTGCCCGAGCCAAATTGAGACACAAAAGCCTGTTGGCCAGAAACTGGAAACTGAGGCATGAATGGCATGGAGGCAAACTGCATTGGAAATGGCATTACAGAACTAGAGGGCTGACCAAAAACAGAACCTGAAGAATAAGGTTGTGTGCTCGAGGAACCCCCAACTTCAAAAATAGCACCAGTGGATTGAGCACGCATGGCAGACATAAGAGGAATCTGTCGAGTAGTCTCATCTAATGTAGATTCTTCAGCCCTCAATTGTGATCGAAGCTCTTTAAGAGACACCAAACTTTCCCGACCACGAATCACTGCTTTGATGGTATTATATTCAGGAGGTAAGCCTCTCAAAGCAACAATAACAATGTCCTCATCAGAGATGAACACCCCAACTGCAACCAATTGATCCCTAGCATCTTTGATTCGTTGCAAATATGCATCAATATTCTCAGAACCCTTCTTAATATTCTGAAGATCAATTTTCATTTGAACAATGCTAGTCCTAGTCATATTGGCAAATCTTTTACGAAGAGAAGTCCACATGTCTTTCGAACTCGTACAACCAATCACACAAGACAATGCAGCAGTGGACAAGGTAGCAATAATGAGGGTCATCAAAGCCTTATCATGAATCTTCCAGATTTTATATGCATCAGTGACAGTGTGCTCATGGTCCACAATATCATTATCAGAATCCGAATCATCAAACCGTGCAGGACAAGGAATGGAGCCATCAAGAAAACCTCGAATTCCATTACCATCCAATAACAATTCCAGTTGAAAGTTCCAAGTAACATAATTGGAATCATCAAGTTTAACCGTAACAATATTACCAACACTGGGAATCAGTGAGGAAATCGGAGATTGAGTAAGAGCCAATTGAGCAGTGGTAACCATGTTTGGACAAAGAATAATCAACAAAGCGTAAACCACACGAGAGAAGCATAGCAGAGAGAGAATGAACAAAAAAAATATCAAGAATCCACAACAGCAATTTCCACAGATTAGGTTTGCAGTAGAGATCTTCAACAATTAACAGGGATTCAATCGTAACATAGAGAAGAAATCACCTCAGCAACGAACGACAATGAACAACAGCGCAAGAACACCAAAAAATCCCCAATTTCTAGGGTTTTGCAGAGCACCGACTTCGACAACGAGCGATAGAAATAAAAAACCCACCGACTGCGACTGAATCGAAATCCACAACTTCATCACCGACGATGATCGACAAATCACAGCAACAATCCAAGAAAACGAAATCGAGAGCGGAAGCAAGAAGGATCGACAACCGAAGGTGTTAACCGTTTCGGCGAAGATACCATAATAACATTGCTAAGAAATGTAGAAAGCTTAGGTATTAAGAAAGATAACAAATATCAGAGAGAGAGAGAGAGCAAGGACAATCTTTTGCAACAGATTTTCTATTACTGTTAACTTAATCAATACAATGTAATTCTGCTATTTATACTCATACTAAACACAACACCCTAGAGACAAAACTCAACAGCCACTAATACAAGGACAAGTGGCATTCTCTACATAACTCAAATGTCTTATACTCTAACAATACCCACTGTAATCTACGTGCGTGTGTGAGAAAGGATCAATCAAACTATATTATCAATTAAACCATATTGCCTCACACCATACACATAACAACAGAGAGCCAAGATCAGAATGTTATCAGTATATTATACCAACATTTACTTTCAAATCCCTCTTATTTTTAAAACCCCTATTGCGCTTCCCCGCCATATTGGAATTTAGAGAAACTTCTTATCATACTATACTAGGGTTCTCGTTTTACTAGAAATCTTAAATTAAGGTTGCATATCAATTGATGCATCTGGAGTTCGTTTTCTGTTTAGATAGATCCGAACTGACGAAATATAGTAAATATTGTAAAGGCAACTGACGAAATATAGTAAATATTGTAAAGGCAGATGTAGTAACTTTAAGTAAGTTGTGCTGAAATCTATCATGGGTTGTGAGGGTACTTTAATTTCTGAAAATATAAAGGAGGTTCCTACAATTTCGCTCGAAGTTGAAGTTTTTCTAATTTCCGGTATATCTCAAAGCCAGATTGTTGTAACTCAAAATTATGTCAGCACAGCTTGCAATATAGATACTTAATTGCTGTTAGGAGAGAATAAGCATATGACATACTGAGATCTGCTGAGATGAGTGCCTCCCCATCATAATTGGGTCCAGCGAGAATAGTCCCTGACGGTGAGATGATGACACTGCCTCCGGCACAGACAACAGAATCTGGAGCAGGTTCCTCTTCTGTGCCTGCAAATACATATTCTGGAGGAGGGGGGTAGTCTTTCCTTTGACAGAACTGATTGGCTGATAGGACAAAACACCCACCCTCTAAGGCAATATGAGTCATTGATGCTTACCATATCCCTGGAATCAGCTGTAGGAGCACAATAAATCTCAATGCCTGCACAAAACAAAGCATCCTGCATCAAATCACAGTACTAAAGATAATAGTATCAAAGTGGTACTAAGAACACTTTTTAAACTCCACCAAGAAATGCATTGTTTCTACCATAATTTTCATGTTCACGTTGAGTAAAAAAACGTTTTGAACTAAAAAAACAGTTGATGCATCAAGTTGGACCAATTTAGATCTGACCGTGAAATCACACAAACGCACAGGAACACAAAGATGTATCATGGTTCATCCGAGGTTGTGCTACGTTCACGCTGGTGTGGTTCTGTTTCACTATGCAAATGTAGGTCACCTTGTACAGGAGTTTGAGAGAATAGAGAGTCTAGGGTTTACCATGAGAGTCCTCTTTCAAATGAGGGTGGGGTTTCCCAATAGAATAGGATAGAATAAGGGCAAGCCTCCTCTTTACATATATTCAAGAGGGCTAATTGAGGCCCAAATATGATATAAACACACTTACAGAGGTTCTTGAGTCATTGTGTTGGAAAAGAAGGTAGCTAGGAAAAACCATGTATTGAATGGATGGTAAAATGCCAATTCGCTGAGAGAGAGCCTGACATGAACCACTAGTGTCCCTTTTTAGCGGCCACAATTAAGTCATGAAGAGCAGAATAAATAGGCCCGTATTTCTCAAGTCAACCACCGGCATCCTTTTGGCCAAGTAAAAATAGTTAAGATGCGAGTCAATGCACTGAGAAACCATTTTCCAATGAATTAAGGTTCTTTTCTGAACTTCTTTGACATGTGAAACAGAAGAAATAATAGTCTAACCAACAAATAAGAAGAAAAACTTGTAAGTCTTTTTTTCTCGTTTTTGTTGTTTTGGCATCCGAACATTCATCGGAGTTCTCACCAAAATGTAAGTATTCAATAGAATCAATTTTTCTCTAGAATACAACTTTCATCGGAAAAAAAGAACTTATCGCAACTAATAGATGAATTTGAAGTTTAACCACCAACTGACATTTCGCTGCACCGACTTCATTTCAATCCACCACTCAATCACACTGGCAATTCTAATGAATTCAATTTATTGCAGTTTCTTACGCATAACCAATGGATGAAATCATCAAGAAAGAAAAAGAAACAAAGTAGTTTTACCCTTAGCTGTTCTGTTCCCAATGACAACGCCAAAATTCGACCCACGGGGATAACCACCCACAAATGCTTCAGGGAACACAACCAGCTGGGCTCCGTACCCAGCCGCTTCAGCCAATAATCTCTCAGCCTTATCTATGCACACAATCAGAAATCAGAACCACCAAAAAACAGAACATCTTCAATCTAACTAAGAAACACGAATGCAGCTAAACTGGGCTAAATATCTGATATCTCGAAAGTTTATTTACCATTCAGAAATTAAAAAGATAAAAAGAAATTAATAATTACACTTCGGAAATTATGGCTAGCAATTTATGCATATTCTTTTCAATAGGTCAGCTTGACCAAGCACCGGATTTGCATTAGTCTTGTATAGGATCCTAAAACAAAAATATGTTGGGAAATGTACTAAGCAGTTGAATATCAGAGTGCGCGATAATCAAGACTACAAAATAATAATAATATTATTAAATAAATAAGAATGCAGGAACGGTTACAAAACTCCAATAAACTATATTGTGAATAATTTATTCCATAGAGCTATGAAGCATTATATGTATAACGAACAAACCTAATCCTAATACTAACAGGCTAGACCCAAACTAAACTTATAAGAAAACCCAAACAATATAATACCTTAAATACTAATATATTCCAACACCTCCGTCAAAATCATGGCGATATATGACATGAGTTTGCAAACAAGCAGATGTGGACTGGCTCCATTAGGCGGATTGGCAGACATGTAAACTTGACTTGACTCCACTTGATTGGTGAACTTGACTTGACTGGCAAACTGGCAAACTGATTCTTGCTGGCAAATTGATTTTGATTCAGATTGACTAGCGTTGAGAGTATGCAAAGAACCCGTCACTAAACGGATAAGATTTTCATATTTCAATTGTAACTACGAACAAACAAAAACAAAACCTATCACTCGAGTGGTTACACGTTCCAAGCACTCTAGTGATTGGCAAGCAATAGCTTCAATCAACAAGGGCCCAACCTTCAACTCCATTCTCTTTCTTTGGTTCACGTTAGCAAACTGGGTGCAAAATAAGTGCAGACCAACATTCTGAACTCAAACTCCGAGGTATGGTTGCGGGCTTTTTAGGCGAGGAAGCAATACACAGCAGCGGGATTTCAGGCAATGGTGGAGGCGTGATTGGATGGCTTGGCGGCGGGGTGGATTCGGACCACAAATGTGCTAGGTTTCTGGTTGCAGCGGTAGTGTGCAGATAGGATTTGCGGGTCTGGGTGAGAGTGAGAATGAGCAGTGTGGTGGTGGGCAGACGTGTTTACGGGTTCAGCGTGAAGTTGCAGCAAATCGATGAGGATTTGCGGCAGTTCAAGGTGCAGATCAGCAACATGTGATGGTTGCAACATATCTGAGATCCAAACTACACAACAGCATGTTCAAACTTCAGACATCAGGCATCGGCTCCGCTCCGGTGAGACCAGTCTCTGGCGGTGCGACTCAAACACCAATAACTGATTCAATTTTTGTTTTCTTAACAAAAATAGTAACTAAACAATCTAAACGTAAATGGCATAGGACAAACAAATAGATACGAACAGAAGCAGATTAAGCCTGAATGATTAAACCTGCTCTCATACTAAGTTGAACATCAGAATGCGCGATAATCAAGACTACAAAATATTAGGAATATTATTAAACAAATAAGAATGCTGGAACGGTTACAAAACTCCAAGAGGCTACATTGTGAATGACTTATTCCACAGAGCTACAAAACATTATATTTATAGCAAACAAACCTAACCCTAATAGTATCAGGCTAGGCCCAAACTAAACTTACAAGATAACCCAAACAATATAATACCTAAAATACTAATATGTTCCAACACAAGCAACCCCCATGTGGTTTACCCCATTCAACAAATGAACATGTGGTCTGTTAGCCATTGCGGTTTCTTCAATTAGTCAAATTTGGTAAGACCGAAATCATATTCTGTGCCCACATATGAACAAGTATCTATTGCAACCTCCCAAAAAAGTGCTTCCTCATGAGTTGTGACTACGCTATTATTTCTCCCCAAGTTTTCTCCATAACATAGTGCAAATCCTTCTCTTAGAATTCAAGAGCTAATCATGCAAGGAAAGTGTTTGGGCGAACATTTCTCCGGAGAAGGCTCCTCGGCTCTCAGTACAGCTCTCCAAGGGATTGACACTTTGGATGTGTAGTCGGGCTTTTGCTTGCTAATGTACTTCAAGAAGAGGATATAGTTAGTTTTGAAAGGTGCCTTTGTAGGGTCTTAGGTGTAGGCCTTTAGGCTTGCAATGAAAACTAACTAAGTGCTAGGCTTGCCACTGCTATCTCAGTATAGCAGGTGTAAAACAAGTGTATTTAGTTGATTACTTGCGCCCCAAGTTACTCGGACTACTTGTTATCAAAGGATTGTCGTGGGTGGGTTAAGTCTACATTGAGTTCTTTTTCTTGCCTTGTGACCAAGGACTTTCAATTCATAGTCTTGTATGTTCGAGTGAGGGGAGTCCAGATCCCCTTAAGTCATCTAGTCGGTTCTTGATTGGTTTTAAATGAAGGTGTTTTCATTAAGGTGACCAAATCCAGGCACAAATGAGACTCTCAAAGTAGGAAAACAGATGGATATGACTTGAATACATGCTAGAGAATACATTAAGCAGTAAATCTATTAACTTATAAAACGAACAAAGAGCTTTGAGCAAGATTTCACCTTTTTGGGCAAGGTTAAACTTCTTGCAATCACTTCTCTCGAGTTAATAGGGTTTATATGCTAAGAAGGGATGGATGGTGAACAAGTTTACATGAAGGAATCACTACTACACCACTAGGGGTGATAACAGAGCTTCTAAACTAGACAAAAGATGGCTTTTGTGGAGGATGATCCTGAAAAAGGATTAAGATCTGGGCTGATTACAGCTTTTAGATGCAAATCTGGCTTGAGAGCAGAATTTGTATGTTTGTTTGTTTGATTGGTTGAGTGTCCTTGTCTCTGGGGCCTCTTCCTTATTTTATAGTTAGCCTGACTGCAGCAACTTTACTCTTGCTCGAAAGTTGTTGAAGGGTAGTGAGTCATCAACTTTTTACTTGTATTTCCATCGAAAAGTGCTTTTTGGCTGATTGTGAGTTAGTCCCCATCATTTGACACTTAAATCATAGGCACATGGCTTATGCATTAATAGGAAGGCGCCAAGTTGTCTCTGGTCCGGATGCTGGGCTTCGTTTAGGTCTTCCTTTAATTGACGTTTTTGGGCTTCCACAGACTTATAGCCCAAAGTTCAAATATTAACTCAAACAATGCCCCCTTTAATCATTGTTAAGGCTGCAATCCCAGGCACTAATAATGATTAAATAGCCGTCACACATTAAACAAACGTCACATGCCTCCACTCAGAACTTGTGCCTTTTTAAAGCAACCGTTGGTTTATCTAAAACCCCTTGCAATACGAACTCTACCGTTAGCTAACTGCTCCCCTATATTACCTTCATTTAATCTTTTTGGCAAAGCAACCTAGAAATTTCAAACTCTTGAATCTTTAGAAACTTCTTCTTGCTATCCCAATCCCAACTTCAGTTTAAAAATTTAGTGGCACCAAAAACAACTGCTCGATCCCAACCCCCCTGGGAAACTGGTGAAGGCATTTCTACTATGCGCCGCTTGCTGAATGGCCTTCATCGCCTTCGGGCAGGCCTGCACACTGAACTCTTTTTCGAGGAAGGATGAGTGCATTCTTTGGGGCCTGCATGGATTTCTCAGGTCCCAATTGCTATTGAAAACAACATGCCCAAAGAGAAGTGGTTGACCACTAACCCATTTAAGGCTATGTCGAGCATCTCGTCCTCCAAATGGTTGAACCACCATCGTGGCTTCCCTTTGATGAAGGATGAAGGATGAACGTAATGGATTAACAAGCTCGAGCCAATCTTTAAGAAAAAAATCGATGAAAAATGAAATTTATGAATTGATAATGTTATCCAAATCAATTGTGATTGCTGACAACTGCACTCCTCTTTTGGAACTCGGGCACCAACACTTTCGACTTTTGGAACTCGGGCCAGAGTATGTATGTTTGTTTGTTTGATTGGTTGAGTGTCCTTGTCTCTGAGGCCTCTTCCTCCTTTTATAGGCAGATTAGCCCGACTGTAGTAGCTTTGCTCTTGCTTAAAAGCTGTTGAAGAGTAGTGAGTCATTATCTTTTTACTTGTATTGCCACCGAAAAGTGTTTTTTGGCTGATTGTGAGTTTGTCCCCATCACTTGACACTTAAATCATAGGCACATGGCCTATGCATTAATGGGAAGGCGCCAACTTGTCATTGGGCTTAATGCTGGGCTTTGGGCAGGTCTTCCTTTAATTGATGTCTTTGGGCTTCCACACACTTGTAGCCCAAAATTCAAATATTAACTCAAACAGAAAGTGTAGAAGTCTTAAGTATTTCCTTGTTCCTCAATCAACCCACTCACGCTCTGAAAGTCTGAATGATCAATAGGGAATCCTCATAAGGATAAATTTTTTGCCACAATCTCAATGCAATTGGAAACGAAGAAAAATGATCAACGTCTTGAGCTGCCTCATTCCATGTGATACACCAAGTCTTATTGAGCTCTATGATCGAGTATAGTGAAGCTAAAGATCCTATGAGCCTAACATTTTGTTTGAGCTCAGCTCATTTCTTTTACAAACTGAGTTCAAACAAGACGAATCAATCTCAAACTGTATGGAGCAAATTTACAACCTACACTAAATCATATTAGCAAACGATATTTCCACAAAACAAGTAGTAAAAATATATACAACCACAGCAATTTTGAGCAGGCAGCATTGGATCACACTAATTTGCATAGTCATTAAACTAAGAACTAAGGAAAGTCTTTCAATTTGTCAAAGTTTACTCGAAATTAATAAGAATCTGAAACAATGAACTGGAAAAATTCCAAATCCCAAAACCCAAAACCCAAATTGAAATTAGAAGCTCTGAATTGAATTTGGGAAAGCAACATAAACACAAACAGTGAGAAGAAAAATGAAGTAAATAAAAAGAGTTGGTGGGGGTGCGAGAGAAAGGGGACCTAGAGCGGCAGGGGTGTCGTAGAAGACGGTGGAGGCTTGGAAGACGGTGGCGCGGACGGTGGAGCCGGAGTAGTCAGCTCCCATGTCGACCTCCGCGATCAGAGGGGTGTGGTTCAACGCTGAAGACGACGGTACCAGAGCCATTTGAATTAAATCTTGTGTGTGTTCTTCTGGATTTTTAGTGTGTGGATGAAGAACGAGAAGGACCGATCAATTTTGAATGCGGACGATTTGTGATGATGAAGTGCCTGTAATAAAATATGCGTCGAGTGAGGAGTGAGAGTGATGGTTTAGTTTTTTTCCATTTCTGGGGGCTATGTCTTTGTCGCGCTGTGTCAATGATTGGTTGTGTCGGCGGGAACTATTGTTTTTGGCACGTGATATAAAAATAAGGCTTATCTATAGTAATGGTTTCTCAATTTTCATTTTTTGAATTTTCATATTAGTTTCTTTAAGGGTTTTTATATTACAAACAGTTTTGAAATTGACCCTCATCATCAAAATGGTATTTGAAATTGAAAATCGATTAATGTAGTCCTTGAAAATGGAGGCCGCAATTCAATGGTTGGTGGCGTCAGTGGGAACTATTGTTTTTAGCACGTGATATAAAAATATGGAACTTTAACGAAAAGCTCCAGGTATTATTCATTTTAACGAAAAATCACATTTTTACACTAAAAAAGTCAATCATGGTTAAATTCACTTTACCCATTATTTTGTCCTTATCGTTAAAACTCAAAGTTTTCAAGCATTTTTCATTAGTTTTCCATAAAAAATAAGGCTAAACCTTAGTAATGGTTTCTCAACTTTATCCCTAGTTTAATTTTAGTCTTTAAACTTTTATATTAGTTTCTTTAATTATCGAACTCAACAAGTGTTGCACTATTGGGCTTTTTTTTTTGGTAATAATAGAAACTCCATCTCACATCACTAAAAATGAATTTAAAATGAGAAATGAGAAAAGAATAAAATCTTAAAAAATCAGATTTTTGTGTGTAAGAAAATAGAATATTTTTTTTCGTAGTTCAATATGTGATTTGTTAGTTGTTTAAGTTTAGCTGCAATTCAATCCCCTAGTAACTTTGAAATCACATTGCCTAATATTTACAAGCTAACGTTTCAACCCATTGGTAAGTTTGATAACTAAAAAAAACTAATATAAGAGTTCCGAAACTAAAATTAAACTTAGAGTAAAGTTCAGGGACCATTGCTACAATTAAGCCTAAAAATAAATAAAGATCAAAATTGTCAGAAAAATGATTTCGGCACAATATTTTTAAGAACATTTGATTCATAACCAAATCTTAGTTGCAAAAATGATCGCTTTCCTATGCATTACTACAAAAATGGCTTATTATGTCAACGGTTGGTGTCGGCTTTATATAATATACTGGTGGATAAGACATTTCCAACAACCTCTTTACATGACACACCCCAACCCCAATCGAGGCATGCTGGCCGTCACGTGAGGATGATGTAGCCATGTGCGCTGTGCAGAAGTAAACGTGATATAAAAATGTGAGTAAATAAAAACCAACTAGCTAATCTACACTAGACTGGTATATAAGTATGCGAGAAAAGGTTAGAGTATAAATACACACATAACCAGAGCATAGGTATCGAAATGCAGTCCAGAAGCTAAGAACTAAATTATACAGAACAAAAAGAAACCCTACTGCGATGGATGTCTGTCAGAACCGCCGATGAGTCATCGTGAGCCACCAACGTGAACTTCTATCTAGAACCTGGAGGGGCGCAAAACAGAAAATGTGAGTAGGCAAAAAAAAAAAAACGCTTTTCAAAACAATTTATTTTTCCAAATATAATAATCCCTCACCGTAAAACCCGTATAATTTCCCAGAAAATAGTACCATATACGTATATAATAATCATGCTCAAAAGTAACAAGAATCAGATAAATGCCATGTCAATTATCTCAACCATAAGTAAGCAAGCCAAGTGGAATAACTCGATATAAAATAACATATCAGCTAGAGTCACCTAACGTGACCTGTACGACTGAGTCTATAACTCATCAATCAAGTCCTGCACGTGAGTCGTAACCACCAAATGTGGTATGTGCGACATGCTAGGTGTAAATGAATACGCTCAAGTGCTAAAATCACGTGAAGTCTCTGCAAAGTATCACAAGTCTCCTACGAGTCGGAACCACCTAATGTGGTATGTATGACAGGCTAGCACCTGCCTTGGATCCAAGGTGAGCATACGGTGTGGGAGGTGAACGATCATGTGAAGGTTATCCCTGGTCTCGGGCAGAGCACTAATACCGGGGTGCAGGATAATGAGCACTAAATGCAACTCATTATAATCATACACACTACCAACGCTACCATCAATATATACTCACCTAAAACTTACTCGAGCGTCTGCAGCATCATGCAACATTATGCAAAGCTATACAAAATTCATATGCTAAAATATAAAGCAATTATGACATGGCATTTTCAACGTAAAGACCATTTAAAACTATTTTTGGGAAAACGTATAGCATATATACGTATATATAGAAAACCAAAAGTTCACTCACTGGTATGTAGCCAGGTTGTAACCCTTAAGTCTCGCCTAGCTGCGTTCGTCATCTGGAAACGTCTCATCTATATGTGAAACCACTATTTTAACATTAATTTTAAGCATATAATCAAAACTATGTAATAACTTCTCATACGTTACTCAATTGAGGTGTTTGAATATACCATCAAGTTTCTGGATCCTTAGTATGGTGCTATGTTGAGTGCTTCCAGTGTTGAAGAGATGTTTCCCTCATTGTTGATAGAGTGTTTTCCTTAGATAGTGATAGAGTGTTTTTCTCACCACTGATGGAGTGTTTCCTTAGATATTGATAAGGTGTTTCCATGGGAACTAACAAAATGCTTCCTTGGGGGCTGATGAATTGCTTCCTTGGGCGCTGATAGAGTGTTTCCCTGGACGCTAACAAGTACTTCGTGCACTGGTCCTGGCAACTTTGAGGAGTATTTGTTAAACTAATAAATACTAAGAACGACTAAGTAATGACAATAAATTATGACTTGCATGAATGATGCATGGTGTGAAAACTAAAAACCCACTAGTTTAGCATGAGAGAGAGGTTGTTCTTGGCTGTAGGTATTGAAATAGGTAATCTAGGGTTTCTGATGGCTTTGGTGGTTTTGCAGGAGTTAAGAAAGATTATTAGATGGCTTAGGATGAAAGGAAGACTTATCTCTAAAGAACTAGGGTTTCTTGCACTTAGAGGAAGCTTGCTCTGCGTGATGCATTCTTTCCCTTCTCATTCTTCTTCCCTCACATGGTTATCTCCCCCCTTTACAGCGTACTGATGTTGTATTTATAGAAGCAGGGATCATTTTAGTCTCTAGTTGGAAAATCTCTTGGTTTCTTCTCTATGCTTCAAATGAATCTCATTTTGTGGCTTGGTCTTCCCTTTCCTTTCTCCCTAGCTCTCCTACATTTTCACTTTTGGTGTAAGATAGCAGCACTGTTGAAACCTGCATTATGCTTCTTCCCAAGGTGCGGCTTTCCTGGGCTAGTCTTTTGCATGTGCTACTTCAAGTGATGCGCCACATGGCTTTCATGTATTGATTTAAAGTGCATGCTAGAAAAGGAAAGTTAGCATTAAATGTCTGACTTTCTGGGCTTAGAGGACATTTAATGTTTGAATCTAGTTTAGTCCTAACTAAAAAGGTCGGTTTGCTAGGGAAAGAGGCAAACTAGGCTAGTTCTCTCTTAATGCTTGCCTACATGAAATGCAAATGGTATGGGCTTGAATCCTTAGGCCCCTAAGTAGTCCAAAATCTTCCATAACCCTGATTTCATGTAGGCTCAATAAACTTGTGTATCCATCTACACCATGAACCACTCGGCAAGCCTCGTTAAGTGGCTTGGGCTCATTTAAGCATGACGTATGCATGGCGTGACTAGTATCATAATATTAATGTATTAATGGCTTGATAAATATGTGTGATTTGCAAGGGCTCGACGTTCAATAAACTATTATTTTATTGGCATGGCATGATCGTAAATTTGCATACTCTTCATTTCATACTATATGAATGGATTTAAGGTTAGCTTGTGACGCTTCCACAACGATTGGGCCTTGAGACATGACCGGGCTTGTAGGTGACATTTTTGGGCCCCAACAACCACAAAATCCACCTCCAAGTCAAGGTGGTGAATATTATTGTGCTCACTAATTTTTTGTAGTTTATTAATTATAGTTTGTATTAATTTTGTGTAGTTTATTAATTATCGTTTGTAATAATTTTATGTAGTTTATTAATTATTGTTTCTGTTGCAGTCATATTTAGAATAAGAATGTGATTGTGTGAATCCTAGTGTATCTAGGGATATCTTTTATATTCCCTTTAGTAGTTTAATTCCTATTAGAGTTGTAATCCTAAAAGGGTAAGGATTTAACCTATCCTACTACTATAAATAAAGACAAATAAAGACACAATTGGGTGATACAACACACACCTCACAATTAAATCTCTATCTTCTCTCTTATTGCAACCGGTCTCCCCCTTTCTATTCCCTTAGAATAGCTTAGTTAAATTGGCCTACAACACGTTATCAACACGCTCTTGCCAAAAGCTAAGGAATTGCAGGATCATAGAAGGGGGCTATTTTCTTCAAAATTCAAAGGCTTTTATTTGTTTTTTGCCAATCAGGTATGCTTAAAATAAAGGAAGATATTTGAAACGTCCACGAAACATGGAAACATTCCCCATGATGCATGAACCCCCTATATTTATATGTTCATTCTGATATATATATATATATATATATATATTGTATATGTTTCATATATTTGTCAATTTATGTTTCATGCATTACGCAATTATATCGCTACGTGGAATTTGTGAGTCAAAGCATATAAATAAATTAGAAGCAATAGGGTTTTTCAAACCCTAGTTATGTCGGAATAAAAAATTATGGGAAACTGTGCAGCATGGCCGCCTCACCACCATTGTGGCACAACCACTGTCTTCCGCGTTGGCCTGTAGCTTAGCTATGTTGAGCATGCCACTAGGACAATGTCGTTCCAACGTTAGGACTATGGCAGTAGCCATTTGGGTTTTGCTACGCCCACACGAACACACCAGGCCTTCGGCCTGACCGGCTTACCCAGGCCCAAATCCCAGCCCATTTCCTCAAAAAGCCTATAGCTTTTCTTGGACCTACCTATGTGTTCTCAGCCCAACCTGCCAGCAACCTTGTGCTGTTGGGCTTTGTCTTGGGCCTTAGGCCCTCATGCAACAAGCCCATGCCGCTTGCTAG